GGTACATGTATTACAATACATGAAACACGTAGCACGCGCGCTGTAGCAGCAGCTTTACCATGCTGGCCACAAAGGAAACGAACCTGAGCGCGACCGGTCTACGCAATATTACCGATGATCCCTGGCGGGATCTTCCGGGGTCGTGATGTACGCAAGCTGAAGTGATTGGACGCCGCCCATCCTGTGCCAGTGTGCACCAGCTTCAGCTGAGCCTTGGCCCATCGATCAGCTGACAAGTGCACGAATTTCGCGCCAGCATCGGCGGATTGACCAACAGCCAAGGTGATCGGTAGCAAACCAAGCAAGCAGCGGCGGCCTCATCGCCATTCATTTGTCGCTGTGAGTTTGACACGAGCCGCGTTCAAATTTGCAACTTCGAACTGAGTTTTACACGACCAGTTTTGAGTTTGGGCATGCATATCTTTGCATGGGGCGATGCGCCGGGCAGGGAAACCGCGGTCGACTTACCTCCGGCTCCAGCTCTTTCGCCCTCGCTTGTCGTTTGTTGACCAGCTTGCATGCAGCACCGGCACGTTGATGTTGAAGCGTGCGGATGGAGAACTTCCAGATCCCTGTGTTCCAGCCTGGAACGACGAGTTCCAGACCAGCTGGAGCTGCGAGAACACCAGCATGCTCTCCTCGGAGACCCCAAACGACTGAAACGAGTCCCAAGTGGAGGATCAGCTGGGACCAAACTTGATTGTTTGGACCCATTTGGGTGATGCGTTGTTGCTCACAAATTGCAATAATCGTAGGCTAGCGCGACCGACCAGGCACGCCAGCACGAACAAACCCTCCAGACGGGCACAGTAGCCAAAGAAAATGGGCCCGTGTTAGGCAGTACAGTTGTATTGTACATCCCGTCTCTGCTCAGTCCATCCCCGTCGGAACCCTTTCTCACGTTTTCGAGACTGAACCGCCCTGGATGTGCAGCACGCAATGTGAAGCAGATCCGGCTGTGAGTTGGTGACCTGCGAGGCGGCAGTTCCTGTCTCTGTGGCGTCCATCTTGCTTTTCGGGGGTGCGCGATCGCGGCGGCGGCTGCAGCTTTCACTATTTGTTCGTGCGGGCAGCGACGCACCACCCGTAAAACACATTTTGTGCCCAGCCTGTTTTTCGTGCAATCAGGCATCGCAATGTGGAGACAGCAGCGAGAAGTTTTGCCGCCTTCTGATTGGCCAGAGACGAGGCGGAAGTATCTTTTCACAACTCAAATTACCGTTACTTCTTCAGCACAGAGCGATTTTTGGAGCTCTTGGCTGTTTCGGACTAAATTATTTATCTGAGCATGGCGCGTATATTTTTTTAATAGATTATGCATGGCTCTAGGTGGAATATAATCTTATGAAAGAGCCATCTTTAGGCATTCGCTGCTATAAACTGGGTGATACAGTACAAGGGGCAAGTTATTCTTAACTACAAATTGCACTCATTCCGTAGTAGAGAATTTTGCGGCCAAAATGCTGGTTGTATCATTCTTTAAGAAACAATTGGCTTTTTGGAAGGGATAATCGGTCTCGAACGCCACTATTCTTTTCTTAAAAAAAAGAAGAAGAACCGCATTTTCTAATAACTGGCAATCGAGAAAGAATATAAGACTGAACAATGAACAAGAGGTGCGGTGTCGCTAAGTGTTTTAAGTTGCTGCTTGCTGCGTGTTCAGAAGCTGAACTAAGTGCACGAAATAGAATATCCTAAAGCTTTCCATAATTCGCTTGGTTTTTGACAATGTTTCAGAAAGATAATTGCAAAAATCGCGATAGCCTGGCTGTCACATGCACCCGTCGCTGCACTCGCCCCATCTGCCTTTTCTTTTTTGTTAGACTTGGTTTTTGTAAGTTTTGTGGATCTCCTCACCGTCTCCCCTCTCGCCCAGCCTAGCCCTACCGGTGCTTTTCCGGCAGCCACATTTGTGTTCTGTACACCAGAGTCTCCCACTGGAGTCCCTTTTGCTTCACTCTTCATTCCGCGCCGCCCCGAGCAGGTCTCTCCTCTTGAGTGTCGATTGTATTGCTCGTTTAAAAAGTTAGCTCAAGCGTGACAAGACATGGACTGGATGCAACCCCGCGACCAGCTTCTGCACGGCTCGGCGCCCGCCTCCGCGCCCTCTTTCAAGCTCGTGGACTCCAACAACCGCGTACGTGAGCTCACGGACCCACTCAAACGTCAGTTGGGCGCGTCTCCTGCCTTCTACCAGCCCCAAGTGAGCGATGACGGGCTCTCGGCCGCCGAGCTGGAAGAACAGCGTCAGCTCGAACAACAACTGCAGGTTCAAAAGGAGGAGATGTGCTTCATCTCGCCGTTGCCGCGCCCCGACGCCACCCGTTTGCGTGTGCCCACCACGTCGCACGCCTTCACGTACGGCGGCTCGAGCTCGTCCAATTTACACTCGACGCCGCCTCTGGCGCCGCCCGTCTCGCCGTTTGCCAGCATGGCACTGTCGGCGCCCGCCGCTCCCATCGGCAAGAGCCACAACCCGTTCCTGAGTGCCAAAATCGAGAACAGCCCGCGGTTGCCGTCGCTTAACGCTATGCGCAACTCGCCTGGCACGCATCTGAAGCCGCTGGGCATCGCCTCGCGTCCTCCGCCGCTCTCATTGCGCTCATTTTCGGACGTATCGACGCTGTCGTCGTCGTCCCAGTCGCCGTCCCCGTCGCCCTCGCCGCTCCACCAGCCTCAGCTGCTGCACCAGCACCACCCCAAGGCCCCGCTGCGCTCGCTATCGAACTCGTCGCTATCGTCGGCGGCTTCTACGTCGCCCATGCTGTACTCGCAGTCGCTCCCGGGCGTGTCCTTCTTGCAAGACAGGAGACGTTCCCGTATGTCGTTTGACGGTGCCGAGCGCATGTCGATTTCATCCGAGGACGAGGACAGCGGCATGCGCCTACTCAGCTCGAGTGTGGGCCGCAGTGAAGGCAGCAGTGATGCTATGACGGCCGCGGCAAACGCTGCTGCTCAGGCGGCACAAAACAACGGCGCTCGCAGTGGCCGCGTCTGCAGATACGCTAACTGTAGCAACATTGCTCGCTCACGTGGACTATGCCGCACACATGGAGGTGGAAAGCGATGCTCGCACCCGAACTGCAACAAGAGTGCTCAGGCGAACCGCAAATGCATTGCGCACGGCGGCGGTACTCCCTGCTCGTTTGAAGACTGCGAGAAGACTGCGCAATCGCGTGGTCTGTGCAAGGCTCACGGTGGTGGTGCTCGTTGCAAACACCCTGACTGCCCGAAGAGCAGCCAGTCCAAGGGTCTGTGTCGTGGCCACGGTGGCGGCATTAAGTGTAAAGCTGAGGGCTGCGAGAAGTGGGTGCAGAAGAACGGGTACTGTATCAAGCACGGCCGTGAACGCGCGCTGACCTCTTGAAAAGCTACTTCCTAGCACAACAGCAGTGGAGTTAGCCACTGAGTGTGTTGTGCAGTGGCTGTCTAGAGAGGGGAAGTGCGTCGAGGCCGTGGATTGATGTTTATCATTTATTCGGTGGAGGGTGAGAAGCGCTTCTAACGGGAGCGCGTGCGTGGAAGAAGGTCGCAGAGAAGGAAGGACCAACTAGCTGTACGGCACAAGCCGAGTGAGTTTGGTGCTTGGAAGTATTATTGACACCCGAGAGTTATCAGAGCCTACAGAGGCTTCATGGCATGTATATATAAGTGACTTTGATTTACTTTTTCTCATCTTCGACGTGTGCGTGCGTTCGTGTACTGACTGCCACGTGTGACTGACTAACAGTTGTGCTAAACTGTAGCAGCTAGAGCAAACGCTGGCGAAGGGACCAACATTCCGGTGCTGGCAGTTGAAGTGTCCATCATTAAAAGAGCGGACCTATTTTAGCTGCAGCACGCCTTGTCACCTCAAACTGGAACGATGGAAGTCGAGGTGCGAGTGGTGCGTGCGCGGGTGTGGCTGCCCAGTTCTCAGTTCCTCCATCAAGATGGACTCTTGTCGCTCACTCGTGTCGGCGAAACCGAGAGCGTAGCGCATGCAACTTTGCGTTCCGTGCAAGGGAAAAACGGAGAGCAGAACTCACTTGCGGAGATGGCGCACCAAGAAGGCCAGCACATATACTTCCGCACGGTAACAGCGATTTGGGAAGATCTAGGCGTCACATCTGGCAACAATTGCCCAAAGTTTTCCTTGCCTGAAGAGCTAAGCATCATGAAAAAGATTAATCAAACCAGTTTACCTCGATTGGACTTCCAGCTATTTCTTCTGAGGCCTCGATCTCGTGGAGGAACATCGGCACGCTCAGGACCGACGACGGTATATCTTGGCACGAGTGGATGGCAATTAAGTGAGAAAGACGTGGAAGCGTTGATATCATCTCGAGAAGTGGTATTCCTCACGACAGTACAGGATGATCTTGGAACGTTGGAGGTGAAGCTTCGGTGTGTAGGGCCGAATAATCCTAGCCGGTCTCAAGCGAGGGAACTAGCTGCTGATAACGACGCTGAAGCCCCCACAGGCTTCACCATCAACTGGAGCTCCAGTGAGGCACTGCAAAAGGACCTGGCTGAGAAAGGTGCGTCTACGAGCAACAGACTCTTGAAGTGTATCGGATTCTGACAAATTCTGATTGTAGCTCGACAGAAAGCAGAAGCAGACAAGAAGCTGGTGGCGCAGCTCAAGCAAACAGCCAGTAAGGCAGCGAAACTTCTTGAAACCCGCGACTTATTGCTCGTGCACTTGCACCGCTCACGAGCTGCCTCCAGAATTCAGCGTCGATTTCGACTACAGCAATACAAGAAGCAGGGGATTATCATTAAAATGCGAGAAGAAGAACAGGTGCGCATAGCGGCGAAAAAGGCGAAAGTCCGGGATAAAGTCATTGCTCGTAACCGCGAGCGCGCATTAGCCATGCGTGCACGCCTTCTCAAGCATCTCGATAACAATTCCTTTTCCACTAAGAACGCAAACCCAGAAGATTCTCAGTTGCACCAAGAATCCAAGCGGATAGCGGAGCACATGGAGACTGAGCGAAGCAAGTTGAAGCAGAGACTGGCGGTTCTCGAGATGCAACGTCAACAATTCGCAACCAGCCAGCGAGTCAGCGCGTCAAGAAGTGCTCAAAGCTCGCCGTACAAACGCAACGACAAACTCTTCGACGCCGAGCTCATTCGCGCCGTTCGAGACTTGCATTTCACTCGAACGTACAGTAACCAAATGTAGCCATTTCAAAACAGTTCGTACTTTGTCGAAGCTCTCATGTAACGCTTGTGTACTATTCAATCGACCTTGTACCCTCGTCGACCATGGCGAATATGACTCTGAAGCACAATGAACTCGCCGCTGCTACGACGGTACCGCAACTCCACATCAAGTAAGAAATGATGCGCTAAATGTCCACCATCTTGTCTGTCGTTGATATTTGTTTCAATGAATAATTCCCCCTGAAAAGTGGAGATATACAGTTCTTAGTAGTGTTCACTGACCGCTTGTTTGCCGTATTGCGTCCAGAAACTTCGTATGCTCTGCCAATTTGGGCATGCGCTTCGACTTGACAAATCTACTGGTCAAGTCGCATCGACGTGCGGAGCTGGTGCCCAAGAAGAACTGCATCCTTATGAAGTTACACAATCCCAAGGCCACCGCTATGCTATTCGCCAACGGCAAGCTGGTCTGCACGGGCGCTGAGACGGAGGAGGCCATCAAGAACGTAGCCCGCAGATTTACGCAGGTTATCCAGAAGATGGACTTTCCAGGAGTGAACCTCATCGACTTCAAGATCCAAAACGTCGTGGGCACATGTGATCTGGGATTCCGAGTGCTAGTGGAGGCGCTTGCCTTCGCCCACAGTGACCGCTGCACGGTGAGAGACTGGGTGCTCATGAGGATTTTTGCCTCATTGCTAATGAGGAGTTGTTTATTTTCTGTATAGTATGAGCCGGAATTGTATCCAGCGTTGATTTACCGCTTGGAGAAACCGCAAGTGAAGGTCCTCGTGTTTGTGAGCGGAAAGGTGGTCTTTACGGACTCGAAGGAGCCACGAGAGCTGTACGCTGCCTGCGAGGCTATCTTTCCGGTACGTTTTGTCGCTGTTGAGTCTCCTTGGGGTGTGAACTAACTGTTAACGGTTGGTCTTTTTGTTCAGATTCTATCGCAATTCAAGGACCCGAAGCCAGTCGACCCCAGCAGCGCTGCCACCAGTGACGGGTTGTCGCGTCACCATTTGAAGACTGACACAAGCGATGAATCTCACCTTGACGATTAAGTTAGGTGGCTGTATACATTAATTTTTTTTACTGACGATTGTTGTTCGCATGTCTGGTTACTGCTCTCGTTGAATGTCTGCATTATCGATAGCATTGGCAAAGAAAACACGCTGGTACGAAAAGCGAAGGAATAGTACGAGTACCCATGTCGTTCGAAGGCTATCTACCAACTCGTTGGTGATGCTGACAGGATCTCCACGGGGAGTTGGAAGGAGATCTTGTGTTTTGTGTTGCTGGTTGCTTTGAAAATCTAGTTGCTCTTCGGTTGGATGCTGGATAGTCTGCCATCGGGCGACGTGCTTTTGAAGAGTAGCGAGGGGCTCAGAGAGGTTATGCAAGAAATGGAGTTGATAATTCAGTGGAACTATTAATCGCTCCACTTGCGCGATGATTTGGAGTACCAAACGCTGGTGAATATTAAACACTGTCGCCGGTGACAAGCCGGATAAAATATCATCCTTGCGAGATCTCGGCTGCATGAGCTGTTGTAACTTTTGTTGCAGTGCATCCAAGAGCCAACGTACTGATTGTTCCTGCCCAAATGGAACAGAAGTGAATATTCGAATGAGTATCTTGTGTGAATGTACTTACCAATGAGTAAAGCTGGCAAATATCGGAATGCCCAATTAGTCGATTCGTGTGTTCGTTGTCAAAATCTTGCTGTGGACTGCCACTATTTGGAGTGTGGACGACACCGAGCTGGCAGATTAGGAAGCTGTCGTCGTAGTTGTATGCCTCCGATGCGTACGGAGTCCATGTATTTCGTGGTATTCGAGAGCCTTGCGCGTGACTTGCATCCAACTCCATATGATCCAAGCTCAGCAGTGCATTCTCTTTTGAAAAGAAAACTCCGTATTCACATACTCGAAATGACATCAAACGAGACAATTGAGTTGAAGATTGGGACATATCATGATCACCCGTGGAATGATGGTGGAATGCGTACGCCTTGGTTACTTTGTGAACCACCATGCTACTATAATCACCTTGGGTCTTCAGTTCCGCAACTTCGATAGCAACTTGCACGAGGAACTGCGTTCGCGTAGCTTCTTTAATACTTCCAGCCAGAGCATCTTCCATTGTCGACGGAGAGAGATGAAGCTCCGAGACTATCTGTCCGCGAGGGTCAAGCACTCGAGCTCTTGCTTGTAATTGCCAGGAGTTCCTACCATTGGAGCAGCAATATGACGCGATACGTCGCAGGTCTAAACGTACTGCTTCCATAAAGAATAGACGTGCTTGGGCAATCTCTTTTCCTTCTACCACATACTGCTCGATAGCATCAATTTCCTTCACGGACGCAAATTCTTCAGTGTAATTTGGACTTGCTGCGAAAAGAATTGGATGGAAGACGAGAACCACTGGGATAATTGCAACGGAGTAAGAGCTCTTCGATGGTTTGTAGATGCCTTCGTGGAGAACGTGGTAATCCAGGAGCCACCGCTGAGCTCGACGAATTTTGTCGCTATCGACAAGCTGCAGCAACTTTGGATTGAGAGCACAAGCATTTACTCCTCCCATTGAAAACAGCCCCAGTGATCCACACTCAGCTACCTTGGTGATATTCTTTGATATAACTGTCTGCTCTTTGTGTTTCCAGACAAGTTGGCGAAGAGCGAAAACTTGCAGGTTACTCGACATGTCAGTGAACGGGTTTGGTGGAAGACGAAAGGCAACAGTATTCATCACGGCACTTTCAAGAGCGACGTCAAGACAGGAGTCGATTATTGCTTGCGCAAATATGGCCTCAGAAACAATCGAAGATGGATATTTGCGCTCCTCAATCGTAATTTCAAGCGCTCTGGGCACATCAATTTCATCCACAGTGGCAAGGCTCCCGGGCTCCACATTAATTGCCGCATTTGCTGTTGCAGGAGCTACTAGTGGTGGTACGGTTGTTCTTGCAAGACGAATAAAGTCACTGAATGCAATTCGAACGACTATGAGCAGCAATTCATTCACGCATCGAAGTGCCTCCACAAACTCATGGATCTGTCGATCATCTTCAAACAAAGATACACTTTTCATCAGACAACTAAAGTGGCGAATGATAAAACAAATAGGCTGCAATGTAGATGTCGGTGCAGAGGTTTCCCATTCTTCCAGTAGCGTCTTCATCCGAGCGCCTAGACTCGTAAAACTAGCCTGAATCATCGCCACCGTCCCACCAAACCATTTGGTTCGACAAAGAATGCTTTCCAAAACTTGATGCGCTTCAACGAGATATCCGAGATTAAATGCAAAGCATGATACGAGACTGTCTAATTGCTGACGCAAGATTTCGTTTGAGAGACCGATTCGACGAAGTTCATCAACTGTATCCTGCAACACACCAACGAATCCTGATCGTGACCTTATGTTTGAAATTTCTGCAAAACTCTGGGTAGTAGAGATTCCTGCTTGCCTTTTCTGGGGCTGCTTCTTTCGTTCTTCTTCTAGTGTAATTTGTGCCTGCATTCGAAATCTAGCAGTGACCTCGAGAGCACCTTGCAGATCAAAGTAAATACCAGCAGCTAGTGCGCGGCTTCCGACAAGAAATGATCTCCTCAAGTTTGCAGTTACATTTTTGACAGGCTTGCCCATTTTCTCCGCAGTGAAGTGAAAGAAAAATACTTGTTCAGTTCGACACAAGAATATGCGGTTGGAGCCGGACGATTTTACAGCGTCGTATCGATCAAGAGTGATCAGCGAGTTTGTCACGAGTGCTGTCTTCACAGCATTGGTGAAAGAAATGCGACTTTCCTTCACACGATCAATGTTCCACACAGTTGGTTCTCCTTCTTCTTCCAAAGGAGTTATCGTGATTCCATCGCAGGCAACACAACCACGATACTCTGCTGCTTCCTCTGGTCCGAGAGATGAAAAACTTGATACAGCATTAACTGTTTCGTGCAATTGTTTAGCCAAGAATCGCGCAAAGACTGCCATTGTCTTCTCCAAGTGGGCGCCAGATACGAACACATGAGTTTCCAGGTCAAGGAAGCAAGATTGCAGGTCCTGCACTCGAGCACCAAGAAAGCAATTACCAACTAATGCACCGTATGCCACCACATGGCAGTCATCGTCCGTAAAATTCTTGTAGATCACTAGACTTCGAAAGGCAGAGTTTATCAGTTCTAGCAGACTATACAGGTTTGCTCCTGTAAGCTGCTCCATGGTAGACTTCAGTCCCCATATCGGCAGCGCAAACTGCTCGTGCTCCACACTACACACTTGGAATTGCGAAGGCATTGAAGATTGCCCATTTAACACTGTCAACGTAAGAGGAGTACTGCTGCTTTTATTGCTATCAAGAGCAATAGCTTGCCGGAGTTCGTGCATACGAATAGTCTTGAGCAGTTCGGGATATGGGTTTGCTGGCAGTCGAAACTGAGTCTTGTAGGAGCCAGCCAGATTTGTCATAAAGTCCTGGACAACCTGCAGCAGCTTTGTACTTTCGAAGTACTCGTCCAACAAACGGCTACGCTGCTCGGCTTGTGTCTGCAGAATGGAAGCTTTGGCTGTTGAGACGTTTACCTGTGACTGGGATGACACTGGTCCTGCTTGTCTGGATGCCATCGTGGGTTGACACTAACAGCACTTGACTTGAACAGACGCTGCAAAAACGAATTTCACTACTGAAGCTTCAGATCCGCAGAATTCAAAATATACGTCTATGAATGGGCTGGTTGCAACTCCGTTTGCCCTCGGCTTTCCTATCGAATACTGAACTGTAGACCATGTTCGTGCAAGACAAGCCTTGTCTACTTGATCTTAGCCGCGTTGGCCTCCGGAAGCCGCTCAATCACGTATTTGCGGTTGGAGATATACATGATAGGAACACCAGGAACCTTACGGATGCGACGCTTGAGTTCACGATCACACGTCGCTACGATGTAGCAGCGGTGCTGTTGAACACGCTGCACCAGACAGTCATCGGCGTATGTGCCCTTATGTGTGCATGGCAGTCGCTCGAAGCGCGGGTCCTTAGCTAGTCGCAAAGCCACACGGTATTTGTGGCCAAGTTTCTCCAGCTCTGCCATCACGCAGTCTGTAATGCATGGGGTGGCTGCACAACAGTAGAATTAATCGACTCATGCTTAGTCAATGGATCTTAATATACAAGAATGGTCTTGGAGACTTACACTTGGCGAGCAGGCAGTCCATCATGGCCGAGACAACCTCGAGCTTGTTCTTAATGGAGAAGTTGATGAAATTCGTATCCACAAGGACGTTGTACGGTGGTCCAAGAGCTGAATTGTACTTGAAGAACATGTTGGACGGGATCTGGTCACTGCATAACACCAACAGCATCAATAGAACACAAGCAGTTAGTCACTGAAGCCTCTTTATCTATTGTGCGTCCGTGCATGCTTCTTACATCTGCTTTGGCTCCGCTTCCTTGCGTTTCTTCTCCTCTACCTTCGCAACCGCTTTACGCACGGAGTTACTGCAATTAAACAAACAAACAAGTTACGTCCGATGAAATGTACTACCAAATAAAATGGCATAAAGCCGTAGCGCTTGAGACTTACATTCGCGTATCACGAGGACTAATCATGCGCTTCACAGCGGCGAACTTGCGAGTTTTCTTGGCTTTTCCCTGCAGACGTGAACAGCACAGACACAATGCTTAGTAAATACACAGATATATCCCTCGATCTTCGTCCACGGGTCATGAATGCAGCCGGCAAGCCGCGCACCATTGTCTCGACTGTGTTGCTATGTCTTCTGTGCCAACCACCAGCAAAAAGCTTTTCGTCGAAAATGTCGCTTGAGTGTCGTCCAATATGTGGCGCACATGAAGAAACCTAAGTCGGTGAACAACATCTCCTTGACAATCGAAACTCGAGTCTTGCACTGGCAAAGGGCACCACAATGGCGGGTGCGGATCGACGTGGTATGACGGCGTTCGATATGGAGGAGGAGAAGGACGAGGGTCACTTTGATGCCGACGGAAATTTCGTATGGGATGACGAGGCCAAGAAGGTGCAGGAGGAGGCTTGGCTGGACGACATTTCGGAGCAGCAAATGGGTGCGGCCAGGAGCGCTAAGAGCCGTCGTGAGTTCCGCGATGAGCAGGCAGAGGAGACGATGACGAAGGAGGTGGCCAATAGAACGCTGGCCACACTGCTCAAGCCTCGCGAGACGGTACTTCAGGCGCTCAAGCGACTTGGTTCAAAGAAATCTGCGCGAGTCCGACCCGGCTACAAGCGCAAGCAGGCGCAAAAGAACGAGACGGAGCCCGAGCAGACAGCGGAGGAGAAGAAACAGTTTGAACAAATCACAGAGGCTGCAGACTTTTTGATGAGATCAGGAGAAGTGGAAGTTTACAGCCAGATTAAGGAGGAATTTATCCCTGAGGAGGAGCTGTTGGCGCAGCGGCGACGTGTGCAGTTCGCTGAAGAGAAAGATAGTAAGAGCGAGGAGAACCCGCCCAAACAGGAAGTCATGTGGGAGTATAAGGCCACAGATGGACAGATCCATGGACCATTTCCAACGTCGAGCTTTGTGGCTTGGCAGCAGCAGGTGGGTTTGAGAGGGGGAATTTGTGTCGGTGTAGAGCTGATGGGCTGAGTGTGCTTTGTTGGTGGCTTGTAGGGCTATTTCAAAGGAGAAACTGCGGTCGACATGCGGCAAGCACAGAGTAATGATGAGGCTGCTGCAGAGTCGAATAATGAGTCAAACAAGAAGCAGAAGCTGGAGTGTGAGAAAGTCTCCGCCGAGCAAGAGATGTTAAACGATTTCGAAGATAGTGACGGTGAAGACGACAGTCCGGCCGCCGATGATAAAGAGAAGACAAACGAGAACCCATGGAAACGATCCGACACGATCGATTTTTCCTCATATTAAAGCCGACTGAGGGGAAATACAGGCCTGCCAACACACGCACACCATCCGGCCCTCCTTATTGCTAAAAAAAAAGTAGCCTGAAGTCTGCAGCAGAACGACAGCGAAAATATTGTCGCGATCGTAAATGGCTACTCCAGTGCAACGACTAGTCGTCCTTCTTGGAGAACGCTCCAGCGTTGGTCCTCCGTGTCACGCTGCCAGAGCTCAGTCGTCTCTGCGATCCTAAACTACGTCGATGGTCCATGTCGTGGCGTCGTACATCCACGTTGTCATTCAGATCTTCGTCCTCACTGGAATCGGAATCGTCCTCCATTAGCGGGCGTTGGCTAAAGCAACAGCACGTTGGAATGAGAACATCTCCTAAAGTTCCGTCACTCGAATCTCACCTCTTGGGGTCTCTGCTGGCAGGAGCGTCATTGCGCATCTGGAATCGCATGTACATATCGTGCATCTTGCTCTTCATGGCTGTAGACAGCAATCGACACGTTACACACTCATTAGTCTATTCTTCAACAGCTACAGTATCCTTAGCTCACCTTCACTCATGGACGCGAACTTCTCACTCATAGCCGTGTACGTCTCGCTGGCGATCTCGGCCGCCGTCTTCTCGGGTGGATAACCTTGGCTCTGTCTCGATCTGTTGTCGCGGAAGTGGGACGAGAATTCCTCGCTGGACAGCACCTCGTCCCGGAAGATCTGGTCCTGCAACATGCGCGCCAGGATGGCATCACGCTCCTCCTGTTCGGACAGTTCACGGTGCTCATAGGAAGGCAAGCGCAAGAAATCATCAGGAAGCTTGACGCGGCGTCGTGACTGTCCACTTGGAGAAGACGACGGCGCTGTCAATGGACTGCGCGGACGACGGAGCGGAGATCTCGGAGCAGGCGGCGGCTGTGAAACTTGCTCCTGTCCAGCTCCAGCCGTCGCGTCCATAGCAAGCAGTGAGTCCACAGTGCTCTCCATATTTCCCTGATGCGCCGTTAGTAGCTCCTCCAGCAGCTCCACGTCCCAGGACGGGAACATGCCTCGTAGCGCAACCAAGTCATCATCGAAGTTTTGCGCCATTTTTGCTCTTGTTTAGTGTAGCCAAGTTGGGAAACACTGTCTGTTTCGATATCAACTATAGAAGGTTCAATTATCGCAACTTTGCCGGTGTCATTCACCGATCGGCATCTAGGCGTCATCACGAGACTCGAGATGATGAGAGTGACACAACTGTGCATGACGCTGTTGGTGGCCATGCTGCTGATAGGGGGAGCTGTGCATGCGGAGCCCAAGGCCAAGCCTGACAATACATGCCGCTCGGCTGGAGTCCTCAAGTTCGACCCGAAGACACACCCCATGCAGCGCGTACGTGGCTCTGGCTCCTCCATTTGATGCGCTGCTTGAGCTAACTGTTCAGTGGTTCGTCGTGGACGGTGTGTATGATATTGGTGCAGACTAAGGGGATGGAGGTGTGCAGCAAGTACCGTAAGAGCACGTGCTGTAATGCCACTCATGCTCATGCTCTCCGCCTGTACGTAGAGGTATACATTTTGAATTCGCAATAGAGATGTTTATGCTGGGTACTGGTATGATGTTGCAGGAAGATTCGGGAACCAGTGGTGGCCAAGTTTAGTCGCAAATGCCAGGCGCTGACGGAGGAGATGGCCTGCTCGTCTTGCCACCCGCTGATGGGGACGTGGGAGATGAAGAACGTGTGTCCGAGTCTGTGCAACGACTGGTACGATGCCTGTAAGGACGAATATTACGCTTACGGAGGAGCTGGCACGTTGGCTCCATGCTACGGCAACGCACTGGTGTGCTCGCCACTCAAGTCCATTGCCAACTCTGGTGCAGACTTCTGCGTCCACATGGGGTTCCACGTGGGCAGCGACTCGGATGCCGAGGGCATCGACTGCTTCGACGGATCTGTACCTGAGTTGCTTGGCGAAGCAGAACCTACTGAGCCGTGGCAAATGCGACTGAAGCGGATGTTGGAAGAGGAAGCGGAGAATCCGTCTGGATTATTCATCGCAGGCTGCTTCGTTCTGGTTACGATGATTCTGATGGGAGGGAGACTTGCTAGGCAGTTTGGAGATCCCTTTGGTGGTGACCAACTCAACCTCATGGAAGTGCGTCGCTTACAGCAGGAACGTTATGAACGTGGTGAGCAGATGTACGATGATGAGACCGATAGTAGCAGCGACGAGGAGCACGCACCAAGGACAACGATCGACCAGGCAAACGACGAGAGTGAAACCAGCACGTCAGCTACATCATAAACTGCGGCCTTTGTCCTAGTCGAGATATGTCGCCTCGTTCATCGGAGGTTTGATCAGCACAGTGGCGCAAGATAGAAGTTGAGCAAATTTAATAGCTCCATGGCTGAAAGGAGCAACAGCTCTGCCTTCATAGCGAACGATAGAGCAACACGATATCCCAGCGGCACATGTATTCATTATTTACTGGTATCCTTGCGTCTTTTGTGTCACGATCGCAACGAGATCCCTGCCAGCTTTGCTCGCCCCAGCTCCACCTGCAACCGCCTTTTTGTCTGACAATATGTAGCCTTCGTCCTCTTCGGATGGAGTGCTCAGTCCTGGTTTTTAAGCAGTTCCACACGGGTCTTCCACTCCTCGTACTGGCACTTCTCGTAGGCGTGACGGAGGTCCTGACACTTCCACGGGAGGAAAAGCGTAGAACGTCGGCATTCGTTTAGCGGGATCAGCAGGCCCGCACATGTGTCGCGGTAGTGCAGTGGCAGCTTGGCGTCCACCATTTCCTGGCGCGTCGGTACGCGGGGAGCTGCCGTGCCAACGTCATGGTAAAAAAAAAAAAAATTGTCAGAAATACCTCGTACTCGGTCAAAATGGGCCGAGAACTTAGGTAAAAGCGACGTAAGACGCACGCGCACATGATCCACCATAGCTTTCATGTCCATATACAGCCGTATTGACGCTACGCACCTTCGTAGTGACCGCCGCCCATGCTTGGATTCTAGCTTGTTCGCACCTCCGGAAACGCTCCAAAGCTTTAACTCGCCTTCACGCTCCGCCCCTCATGTAGCGGCTAATTTCAACCAATCCGATAGTAAACCTCCTATTGCCGATACAAAATTGTCCTTTATTTTTACCAATCGAAGCGTATCAAGGGCTGGGGGGGTCTCCTTAGTAAAGGCAAGTGTAATCTTCACCAGTAGCAACAGGATGGCTATGAGCAGCGCCGCTCTTGCTCCCGTGCTACCGGCGGAGCTACAGCAGGACCACAAGGCCGTGGGCGCAAAGTTGCGAGTGGTTACTGCCGCACAGGAGACCTTCGAGGGCGTCATCTTCACGCTGGACCCTGTGGCCAACTTCCTCGTGCTCGGTACGCTCGTCCAATCTCACCTTGAAGCCAATGACGTAGCCTCGTGACAATTGCTGATATTGCGTTGCTATCAAACAGAAGAGCAAGATGGAGCCAAGATCAAGACGCGTATCTTCCAGCTTGAAGCGTTGCAGAAGGTTGAGGTGCTAGAACCTGCCCCCGCTGGACTCATGTTGACGCTACCGGCCATCAGCGCAGACGAGCTGCAGCGCATGGAGCAGCGCAACAAGGGACTTGCCGAGCGGGCCTTGGCTTCTATTGGACAGGGCGTGTCCGGTGAAGCTCAGGCTATTTTCGACGCACTCAACAAGACGTAAGTGTGTTTGTGGACAGATTAATTGGGACAAGATCTGACTTTTTGGTGCTGCTAACTGCTACGACCAGGATGCCGTGTGAGTGGGAAGGCGCAAACATTCGAGTTATGGGTGAGGTGGTGATCAAGCCGCCGTACCATCCGCAGAACTGCGTGAGTGCCAACACTCAGGTGCTCTTGCGGGTCAAGAAAGTGGTAAGTTGGACGGACAGAGTATCAACGTGCAAGTGAAGGAGATAGTCACTGACTGTTTTATTTTTGTTATTGCAGCTGGAGGGTGAGAAGAGCAAGTTAAAGAAGGCCAAGAAGTGATAGGATTGGGATCGTCGTGCTTACAGATCTCGCGGTCGAGGTGGTCCTCTGCTCCTCTGCTTCAACGGGGAGACGCAGTATTCGATCGCCATCGTCGAATGAGCGGACGTTGATCAATATGAGCCTGTAGAGCCTATAGGCTGGGCTCAAGTAGACTGGAGTACCCTATGTACACTTGGGAATAAAAGGATGGAACGATGGGGTATCTTTTGTAAACATATCTGCACTTTTTGCCATTCGATTCTTGAGGTTGACAAAGAATACTATTCACCGAGTAGAGCAGAACACGTATGATTTTGCGGTGGAAATGCAGCGAACAATATCACGTCTTAGCAATCGATGACCTAGAGGAGGGGTATACTTCTTAAAAAGAGGTTATCGCGCCCCCAGGTCTCGAGTAGCGGATGCTGACTGTGCAGCCGGCATTGAATAGACGTATCTACTGGTACTAGGCATGGGTCGATGGCAGAAAGAAGGTTACCTGGTTAACTATGCCAGCAAATACAGTGGTGGCACTACATGAATTAAGAGCGGATCCGAGTGGAATCTGTACTGATAACAGTAGATTACGAACAGTAAAACTGTTTTACTAAAACATGTTTGAAGTTAAACCTTTATTTGAAACGGTCAAGCCTTTTGCAAATCCTGGTGGATCGACATCTCTCTGACCACTTCTTGAGCTCAAACTCAAACTTACACCCCGGCGTAACCGAAAAGCGTGAGGCTTGCGACCATAATGAACATGCCAGCGAACATGCCTAACGCAACGATATGGCTCTCGCCCTTAGTGAACTTGTACGCCGTCGGAATGAGTTCCTTCACGCAAATGCAGACCATGATGCCACACACAATTCCAAACAAAATGCCCTCCGAGATCGGATCCATGCCGTCTCCGATAGCTAGCCACGCGATGAATCCGCCCACCGGCTCAGCAAACGCAGAAATAGTGCACCACATGATGCCGCGCCAACGGGAACCAGTCGCAAAGTAGATAGGAGCGGCAACAGCGATACCTTCCGGGATGTTGTGGAGACCAATACCAATTGCCAGTGAGAAACCGACTGAGGTTTTTTGGATAGCACCAACGTACGTAGCGATACCTTCAGGTAAGTTATGGATACCAATAGCTAACGCACTGAGCACGCCCATACGTTGTAGCGCAAGCTTCGCTTCCGGGTCCATTTTAACGTAGTGTGTCGCGTTAGGCGTCTGGGACCCATGTTCGAGGGCATGAAAGCTCTCGTTGTCCTTACTGAGCTCTAACGACTCGCGGACAGCTTCCAGGTTGTCAATCTCAGTTATTTCGTGCGCAGGAGATATCTTGTGCACAATCATGTCGATGACATAGATGAGAGCAATTCCGACTGCAAAGAATGCAGTAGCGGCGAGCCATCCGTGTCCCGTTGCCGTCTCCTCCGACATTTCATCCGTTTTAAACCCCTCCGTTAGCAGATGCACCGACTCGCCGAAGATCTCCACCAATGAGATGAACATCATTACACCCGCTGAAATGCTGAGGGCGATGGCCAGGCTTCGAGGGTTGGCCAAATGGACCAGGTGCTTGTTGAAGACAACCATACCGCCGAGGATTGTAGCGAAACCAGCAGCAATATTAAGCGCGAAGGCTACCCCAACAGAATGCCCGGTTTGCACCATGTTGCTGTAGAGGTATGCTGGTTGAGTCGAGTAAAGTAGTCCGTCGAATGCCGCAAAATTGAGAATGGAAGCAACAGAGAATGTCGGCGTGAAAGCAGAATCACACGAGTGGCTCACTTCGGATGGAGTTTCTACCAGGCGCCGCTGATGTAAGAATTATTTGCTGTTCGTGGCAGTTGCAGTTGGCGAAGTACTTGGCTCAACGTGGAAATGCTTCGGTATTTGTGATTGCCATAGCTGAAAATCGGTAAACGCAGCAGTGATTCTTTAGAATTGTCGATCGGTTAAGTTGCCCCTTCCGACCGTGTATGCCCTGCAATTGGCTCGTGGCACGAGCAAGTGCCGAGATCCCATTGTAGTTGCGATCAACCCACCAAGTCGGTTATATACGCGTGCTGTTGCCCCTACGTTTTACGGCGTGCGAAGATATCGGTAACGCTAAGACTATGATACAAACCCGACTAAAAATTAAATCGCGTTCGACATTCACCTGGAATGTGCACCGAAAGTCTGAAGCTGTTTTGAGGGATTCATTCGACACATTTAGTAGCTAGCTACGCTGCCACCGAGACGCTACTGCTTGAGCGCCAACACTGCCAAATAATGTAGGCTGATAATCATGACAAACACGCCGAAGAAGTCACTCGTCGCAACTAAATACGTTTATGACACGGAAGGCAGTGGATAGGAGTTCCTTCACGCAAATACATACTGTGATCCCACAGAACAGGACGCTTTCTGAGACGTGGTCTCATTCGGGGAGCTGCTGATACAGCTCTTCGATAAGAGGCAAACGAGTACTTCGTCAACCGTTCTGATTCTGGACCAGAATGGCTTAAATCTACTATTTCAGCGCGTGGCCTCTGAAAATATGCTCGCGCAGATTTCACGCCAAACAAGCATATTCCTGAAATCAACCGCACCAATGAAAGACTTCTGAACTGTTCAGCTTCTGAACATGGAGAGCATACTGTATTGCACGAGCACCCCGCATCGTTGATACAGCCCAGTGAAGAAGCAAGCTCTATCATCGAGCAGTGGGTTCCGCATTAGTCCCTGTATTCATTACGCGTTTCGCTTTCATCAAACATGCAAGTATTAGTAAATTGCCTTTCTAAAAACACCCAGAGCTTTTCAAAGTGCCCTTTCACAAAGATACCCATCTTTAAAAAAATTGAATTGAAATCGCAGACGCTCAACTAATGATCTGCATCGATAACGTGGGGGGCCGAGCACTGCTCGTGGGCGGTGTGGCGGCATGGCTAACGGCCATATCCACCGGAAAAGACTGGCTTACGAAGGACTATTTGTTCGTGCTGGCTGTCGTGGGTGTTGTATTGGTCGGCAGTTTCCGCAAGGCAAAATACGAGCGACTGGCGCTACATGAAAAGCTGCAGCGAGGTTGATGTCCAGTACTGATCTTGTTGAGAAGGTTATCTAATGGTGTTGCTGTATGGGGCTTAAAACAGCACACGATCTCGAAAAGGTTGAGTTCATATACGGCGACCCCGTGCAGCTGGAGATGAACAAAGTAACCTGTATTCTGTTCTTCGTACGTACCATGATTCCCATTAAAGCAGGAGTATAAGGATACCCGAGTCACTTCCAGAAACGTCACCAATTGCTCATATAGTGGTGTTGACTGCATAGGGGACATGGTGCAAGAAGTCTCGTGAAGCTCTGGAAGTATTCGGGTATCTCCATGAAGCGGTGTCATCCGCAGGTACAATTCTTACAAATTATTCTTCTGTTCACTGTGATCTTACTTTTTTTTCGTGTTGTTTTGATTTTCCAGGGACTGTGCAATTTGTCGGATTAACACAGGAATCTCGCGAAGAATTGGCAATGTACGAAGTCAAAGGCCGCAATGCTAGCAACTTCCGCGAGCTCAAAGAGTTCGCCTTCAGTATCGGTATCGAAACTGGTTTTATGAGCAAAGAGTTCGTCTCACGATGAAATAAGTATGACAATCGAACTGCCAAACTTACACTCTCTCCAATGATGCAGATACCTCGTGCGATGCGACCTCTTCACGGTGCCGCAACTGTTCATCGTTGGTAAAAACAAGAGCATCGTGTGGTACGGCGATCCGTGCGCCAAGGCTGTTGAGGTGAGGAGTATTTGCAGCTTGTCAATTCAATGTCTAATAGTCTCACGAGGTTTTCACAACATGTCAGACACAAATTCGTGCAGCTATTGAACAGGACGATGTGAAAGAGATAAATACAACCAAGACTCTGCCTGACGCATATGAGAAAGAAGGAACACAACAAAGTAGTGCAGCCTAACCGTCACCGGCGTGGTGACTCTAACTCATCGCTTTCAAGTTCTCTTCATTTCATGTATACTTATCATTGCATCCTTACCTTATATCTCCTACTTCGAGGATATTCTCGCATTATCAACAGCCACCATACTCTGCACGTCCTCGTATGTGAGAGGGAACGAGCACGCTCCGAGAGCGGCAACCGTTCGCGAAGCAGTTCCACAGCCCCACCGCAACGCATCACCCACATCTCCATCATTGGTTTTCCAGGCGAAAAGAAAACCGGAGTTAAATGAGTCGCCAGCACCTGTGACATCCACGACATCCGTAGGAAAACTGCCTTGCTTCCATTGCTGCTGTGTCTTGGAGCAATACGCGATAGCTCCGCCAGCGCCAACCTTAATGACCGTCACCCCATTGATCCGTTCTGTAAAGTGCGCCATCGCTGCGCTCACTGAGTCCGTGCGAGAGATTTTCATGGCTTCGATCTCATTAGGCAAAAATATGTCTATCAGCGGGAACAGCTCATCGAGGCCGTCCCATTTCTCCGTCGAGTCGTAATTTATGTCGAGCGAAGTGGTGATTCCGTTTTCCTTCGCTTTCTGCAGCAGAGGTTTCATTTTCGCTCGGAGACTGGCACAGCTGTAATACCCTGAGTAAATCATAACCAACATCCTATTTAGAAGCGGCGGTCATCACGGAGCAGCTCTAAAGTTTTAGTCTACTGCACCTCCAATGTGCAAATGGTCCGCCGAGAGTACCATTTTCTCGTCAATATGCTGGCCATTTACTGCATCAGTTCAAGGGTTCACACACTAATCGACAATTGCACTCTTGCCTCACCTCAATATTGAGCCTGTGAGCGGCTCCGTAGTGCGTGATGAAACTACGGTCGTTCTGTATCACCTAAAACGTAAGTACTGAACCATCTTACAACAATTATAATCACCACGCACCGCTCCACTAAGAACAATGCAAACGCCCGTGGGGACGTTATCAAGCATCGGAGAGCTCAGTGTCACGTTGCGGTCGGCTAAATGCGTCTTCAACACATTCGCGAACGAGTCGTTCCCTGCAGCAACAGCACAACCATTACTTCAAAGCTAAGTGATGTACTTCATAGATATACAATAATCAACTAAATGGACGTACCGACGGCCGTGTGCAGCGCTACTTCCAGCTCGTGGTGGGGGTTGCGGACGCTGAGGTTGGCCAGATGCGTTGCAGTGTTGAGCGCTGAGCCACCGGGCTGCAGCTCGATGGGCCGCGAGCATTCCACATCGCTGCCCCACTGGGGTAACTGGTCGGGCGCCAGTGTTCCCGCAACGACGTCCACGAACGCATCCCCAAGCACCGCAAACTTCACTTTCATCGCAAAAGCTACACTATGTCACTAATATTTTTAATAACTCACCTCGCTACTACGACATAACTTCTGGCATATTTTACAGTGTCAGACAGGAATGCGACTTGCTCGGTGTCTCGCGCGGGGCTTCTCGGCTGCTGCAACTCCGACTGCACGCAGCTTCAGCTTCAGCGGCTGCGGGTTCTTGATCCCATACCACTTGGGCGTGGCTCAGGGGCTGCAGGATGCTGGCTACATCCAGGAAAGCTCCAAATTTGCCGGAGCTTCGGGAGGTGCAATCGCTGCACTAAGTCTAGCCGCTAACGCGAGTATGAGCGACATCCACGAGGAGACCAAGGCCATGGCCAGACTTTGTCACAGCCATGGCACCATTTGGAAGCTCGAGGAGCGACTACGCGCTATCTTCCACACTAAATTCGGCGACCTTCCTGTGGAGACACTTGCTCAGCGACTCACTATTGCTACAGAGAAGATGTGGCCTGCAAGAGTGATGGTACTGACGGACGACTTCCACTCAACGGACGATCTTTGCGATGCATTAATTGCTTCGTGCTATATCCCTTGGTACTTGGCCAGGCGAGGCACATCGGTGTTTCGAGGAGAGTACCACGTGGACGGAGGGCTCCTCACTTTGGTTCCTGATGTCCCTGGATACGTCAAGGTATGTGCCTTCCACGCTCGTTTGTTGCGTCGGAGTGACTACGAAATCAGTCCATCGATTGATCCTGACTTTCCATTTGCAATTATGCAATTGGCACGCTTCGCAATGATCCCACCGCAGATTGAAGTGCTGGATCAATTGTTCGAGTTGGGCCAAAAATCCGCCAATATCTGGGTGGAGAAACAGTTGAAGCTCTCAGATAAAATAATATGAAGGAAGAACAGCAGCATAAACCGTGAGAACCGAGCATGATGGCAAAAATCAAATTTAGCGGTTCATCTTAGGTCTAATCGTCTTTCGTTTCATCGTCAGACGTACTGGATACGGACGATACCGAGGACGACGACGATGAAGACGAGGAGGAAGATGACGAAGATGACGACGACGACGAAGAGGAGGAGCTCTCGTTGCCAGGGTCTTGGTCCGCCTCGGCGAGATTCTTCTCGATCTCTGCACGCACGCAGCTCTCCTTAGAGCTGCTACTAACAACTGCAGCTTTTGACTTGGCTTGCTCACTCTTAGCCGCCTTTGACCCCTTCCCAGTTGCAGCTACCGCCTTGCTTTTGGTAGCAGCAGCACTGGTCTTCTTGGCACGGTTGTTTGATGTCGTAGTTTTCTTCTTACTAGCTGGAGCAGTTGCAGGCTTACCGTTTGTTTTGCCATTGACCTTACTCGGCCGTGCTGACGAAGGTTTCGGTTTTGCCTTCTTGGTAGTACCTGTGGAGGCGTCACTGGGAGGATTCGACGAAGCTGGCGTAGCAGGTGTCGTAGATGCAGAAGATGCAGCAGGTTTCTTTCGACTTCGCTTTCGCGAGGGATTACCAGAAGTTCTAGTGTTGCTCGCAGATGCTGATGACTTTGACTCCAACGCCTTCAGCGCGGCTTCCGATATCTTAAGTTTCTTTGCGGGCGGTTCCAGTGCCTCCATTAACCTGTAGGACAATTATACGAACGGTTCGTTGTTAGTATCCACACAATAAATAAGCCTAACAGGACAATACCCATGGCTCACCTCTCTTGGCGTCTCCTCTGTTTTTCCTCCTTTACCTTCAACGCTGCAGCTTGTTGCACTTGGCTCAATTTCTCCCGCTCGAGTGCAGCAGCTCGAGTGTCCAGTAGCTTGAGTTGGCTCGGACTAACCTGCAACACGAAGCGCAATAAGCCTTAGAATCGACGTCGTCAAACTCATGATCAAGAAAACTGTTCGCAATGTACCAGCAGGTTGTTGCAATAAATAAAGTCCTCGGGGTTTTTGCCAAAGGCACTCTGTTCCGTAAACAGCGTCGATAGCTTGGCGAGATACGCCGGATACGGGTACTCTGTGCTGTCCAGGTGGGTCTCTGTCAAACAGTCAGTGTAGCCTTTGCGTCGATCTTCCTCCTCTTCTGCAAACAAAATAGCTTCCACATCTTCTTCAAAAACGTCCGACTCGTCCGTGTACGCGTCCAGATCTTCCTGCCCCAGTTCCTGCTCACTATTAGCCGCTGATTCAACCCGTTGCTGCTTGACCGGAGACGACTGAGGCGTTGCCCTTGCCTTCTTGGTTGAAGCTTTGGTCTTCACCGACTTTTTTGCGGTCGTCGGAGTGTTAGTCTTCGTCCGTCGCGGTCTTGATGACTTGCGCTTCGTATCGACAGGTGGAGGTGGACCAGGAGGTGGCGGAGGCATGTCAGTGTCAGGCGGCGGTGAGTCGGGGGGAGGTGGGGGCGGTTGAGGGTGCATCGCAGCGTGGCGCTTCAGACTGAGACTGAGCGGCTCGTCGTCGCTGGAACTGTAGGAACTGGAACTCGAGCTGCCGCTGCTGCTCAGGTGGCGCGCGCCCAACAGAATCGCCTCCATGGCGCCGGTGGTATTAGTGCGATGCCGCGAAGGCTATTTTTAGTTGTGTCATCGCTTTTGACAGGGATAATAAAATGCATGGACCACACAAAATAATGTAGGCCACACAACAAGTTGAAGTGCTTGCTTTTACCTTTCTACAGGCTTTCTAAATGTCCTTGGTCACTTCATGGCCATCGTCGTTACTCATCAGACCGAGCACGTGGTGGTTCTGGCGAGACCACATCTCGGCGTATTTCCCTTCAACATCACGCAGTAGCTCCTCGTGCGAGCCCTGCTGGATCACATGGCCCTTGTCAAACACGATGATCTCGTCGGCGTCCTGGATGGTCGACAGACGGTGAGCAATGATGAGCGATGTGCGGTTCGCGCCAATGGATGCGAACTCGCGCACGATCTCGGATTCCGTCTCCGAGTCAAGGGCACTCGTGGCCTCATCGAACAGCAGGATCGGTGAGTCCTTAAGCATCGCGCGGGCTATCGACACACGCTGCTTCTCACCTCCAGAGAGCTTCAGTCCGCGCTCACCCACACGGGTGTTGTATCCATCCGGGAAAGTCTCAATCGAGCGGTGGATCTGCGAGACACGGGCGGCGTTCATAACCTCTTCCGATGTTGCCTCAAGACGTCCGTAATTAATGTTGTAGAAGATCGTGTCGTTGAACAACACGGTGTCTTGAGGGACGATAGCAATAGCTTGGCGCAGCTCGTCCAGACTCAACTGGCGGATATCCTTTCCATCGATGAGGATCGTACCGTTTTGGGGATCGTAGAAACGGTAGAGCAATCGGAGTACTGTCGACTTGCCGGAGCCGCTCGTGCCAACGATTGCAACGCGCTTGCCAGCGTCCACCTTGAATGAAGCCTTACGCAGAATCGGGAGTTCCGGTCGATATCCGAACTCTACATCACGGAACTCAATCGACTTGGGTTCCTTACCCGACAGACTCAGATTCTCGTCCGGGTTCGTGATGACAGGCGTCACCGCACCAAGCTTGAACATCGACTCCATGTCCGTGACCGATTGGCGAACTTCACGGTAGATACTGCCGATGAAGTTTAGCGGGATCGACAGCTGGAAGAGCAAACCATTGACGAGTACTAAATCACCAACGCTAAGCGTTCCAGCAGCGATTCCTTCGCACGCCATGTACATGATAGCAGTAAGACCGACACTAAAGATGCCGTTCTGTCCGGCGTTCAGCATGGCCAGCGACGTTTGCGTCTTGAGCGCCGCTTTCTGATAGCCCTTAAGCGATTCGTCATAGCGCTCCGTCTCGTGTTCCTCGTTGTTGAAATACTTGACCGTCTCGTAGTTCATCAATGAATCGATAACCTTGGCGCCAGCCTCATTCTCGAGACGGTTCATCTCACGACGAATCTCGTCGCGCCACTGCGTTACCAGCACTGTGAACGCCGTGTACGCTGTTAGCGTGCCGAGCGTCACACCCGCGTACGGTAGTCCGAAGCTGGTAGCCATGATGGTGGCCACAAGACCGATCTCCAGCACTGTCGGCACCACTCGGAAGGCCATGGCACGCAGCACAAAGTCAATCGACCGCGAGCCGCGGTCAATGATGCGTGAGAGGGCACCTGTCTGGCGGTCTAGGTGGAACTTGAGGTCCATGGCGTGCAAGTGCTTGAACACACGAACTGCCACCTTGCGGATGGTCTTCTGCGCCACTGTCGCAAACACAGCATTGGCGAGTTCGGACGACGCGCTGGCACTGAACCTAGCTAGTCCATAGCCGAGCACCATCGCCAATGGCACCGTGATTTCGGGCGAGCCAGCCAGCACGGTGGAGGCTTCACCCATACTATTCACGAGCTCTTTAAAGATAAATGGTACTTGGATGGTCAGCGCCTTGGAGGCCACCACAAGACCCGCCGAGATAAGCACCTTCTGCTTGATCTCTTTGGCTTCCTTGGAGTCCTCGCTGGGCCACAAATGACCCATGAGGAAGCTCAAGATCTCCTTTGCCGTATCAGGCGGGCGATCCAGTCCCATGCCGCTCAGCGCGTTCAGCGTCTTAGGTTTCGTCAGCGACGTTTTGCCCTTCTTGTTGTCTTCATCCAGTGCAGATGTCGAGAAACTCAGCGCTCCATTGCCGAGCGCAGGCAGCACGAATGACGCGGGGCGGCGGCGGCCCACCCATAAGGACGCCGCAGTGGGAGCCCGGTGCACGGCTTCGAGACGCCGCACGCCACGCAGGAAGATACTGCGGCCATGGAGCAGCGACATGATGAACTGCGCAAGGAGGTCTGGAAGTGAGCCCTGTCAGCGCCGACGCACGCGTAGGAGTGATGGTCGATTATTGAACGATTGCGTCATACCGTATAGTTTTTCGCCTCAATTTAGCCGGAGTCATTTTGTATCGTATATCGACAAAAAAAGCATTGATACAGTTCAATTAGCGCTAGAATTACTTTAAAACGGAATAGATTAAACCATACAATTTGATTATACAGGTATACCAGGTATCAAGCGCCAAAACTAAATCTGTGGCAGATTTTGGCCCCAGTTAAGGCGCGAAATTTTGACACCCTGGATCGAAGAAGATAACAATGAACGGTTGACCGACGGCACCGAATCACTTACCTTAAACGACGTAGAAAAACATCGAACCGAATTGATAACCAAGTCGAATGATGCTAATATATCCCTGCGATGCTCTGGCTAGCTTATCCAATCCCCCGTGTACACGATCGATATTCATTCGAGATCGTTTCACGTGGAAACGTGAATACATGGAGCTACCACATAGGCTTTCGGGTATTTCTGTGATATTTCTGTCAACTAAGGACAAACCCACAAGCGCCGTTCTCGCGATGGATGCTGGGAGCTCAAGCAATCCACAATGCTCGAACTATAACACCATGACTGCTTGCCACTTCTCGTCGAGGCTGTTCAGCAACGGTCCACGAAGGTCGGTTCTCACGAAGTCAATATTCACAATTTTCGGCGATGAATCTGTCGTCAACTCCTCCGGAATGCCCTGTGTTCGTCAAGATCGTACGATAAATATCGTGGTGAGATGCGGGAGATAAGGGAATGATGTACTGGCTGGACAGTCAACTACTGTCGAGTTATACACCTCGAAAGTCACGAGGTATCTAAAGCGACGTATATCCATAGTGACGACAAATTGTGCGTAGTGCGAGACAATGAGCGAGTTAAGTACTTTAGCGCCAAGCGATTGAAGTATATCATGAAGTTCACGCTTCATGAACCCGAAAGCATGGTCAGATAACTCAATGTTGTTGTTATAGCATACCATGAAAACGTGATTGCATCCGAAAATTGCCTGAATTTGCAGCGTGTCGGAGTAGTTAAAGTCGTCAGGAAATGAGCCGTGATTCAAGATGAATAGCGGTCGGTAGATGTATATAATTTTGCCAGGGATAATGAAGCCCCATGCAAAGCAGTATTATACAGTCACCTCAATCCTATCTTTTCCTCCATGAGATAGTGTACAAGTGTTCATCCACACGCTACTGATGAGAAAACTTGAGGAATATTTTGTAGTCTGCGACGTACGGTAATCCCAGATATCTCCCATATGAGCAAGACAACGTCGAGCCTCTCACCCCAAACGCTAATAGCCTGCGCAAACCAGATGCAAAGCGTTTCAATCCACCAAATTTGTCAGCCGGCTTTTCGGCTGTTTGTTTCTCGAAATTTCACTTCCAACATATTTTTCTCGTGCATTGGTCCTTCATCTTGCCAAATACCAACCGTCGGTTGCATCCAAAGAGTATAATGACATTGTGAGTGCGTTGTTTAAATTTACCGCCCCGACGCAGGTGTAAAGGAAAACTCTATTGCAGTTTTTCGTGTGGCATCATTCGCACGTAGTATTTCGATTTCGGGTTGATTTCATGCAGTGATAGATCTACGCTAGAGAACATGATAACAATGTGTGAAGACGAGTACACACAAGCCATCCAACTCGAACCGTATTTTGATCGATGTGTAGTAAAGTTTCTTGGCGTTCGTGCTTATAAGTACCCATAATGATAGCATTGGTCTGTGTGCGCAATCGATCCGCCTGATTCGATATATGGCAGATCTCTCGGCGTAGCGCTAGCTGAGCCGAAACCCGAAGTACGCTGGTTTTTATCGGGGATCACCCCCTAAAAGTCGAATTACGGTTTTATTCAGAAGAAAGACACCAAAACCGCCAGTCCTTCATTCTTGGGTGGCTATTTCCACCATACTCTGCTTAATCTCATGTCGTGGGGATTTCTTGCACACTTCTCCGTTCTCAGAAGCGTATGACTGCGAATACTGCGTGCGTCAGTCTATAATTGATCTATACCATTGATTTCAACCGGAAACCGTTCCTGTTCAGAAGATCAAGCTTCAACCGAGAAATGCTCACGCACGATCCAAGTTGCTCAAGCAACTGCACCTCACCCGAGATCACTTTTGATTTTGCTAGTTTGCTATTCATCCCGATCTCGAAATCCTGTTTCTCAAGCTTCAATGCGTTACGCCAGTCTTCTCGCTACTGCTCTCACCGTCGCCGCCCTCGATGAGACTTTGGGTGCGAGCTGCCACGTTACGCCTCTACTGAAGGTCATGAGTTTTAACCTTCGCACGTCGATTGCCAACGATCCATGCCCAAGTGGCTGCTGGGAACAACGCAAATGGCGCACCAAACAACTCGTGGAGAAGTACCAACCTGATCTCATTGGCACGCAAGAAGGAGCTCCTGATCAAATCCAGTTTTTCCAAGATCAGCTTTTGTTCGCAAGCACTGGCGACTGTGCGGGTGATTGTCAGTGGAACGAGCGCAACAGTATATTCTACAAAGCCGATCGCTGGGAATTGCTGGAGACTTCCACCTTCGCTTTGGTAAGTTTAACATTGACTTTCTGAAAGGTTTTGTTCATTAGTTAACCGTTTGCTTGAAAGAGTGATACTCCCGATGAAATCCCGTCGAACACCTGGGGTCTGCAATACTTGCGTGCAGCGGTTATTGCACGCTTCCGTGATAAGACTACCCATCGCCCCGTGTGTATGCTGAACACGCATTTTGACATAAACCTCGGTCAGCCGCAGTCATCAGTCCTGGTAGCGAAGCGATTGAGCGAGCGTTGCCAGTCAGAAGACACAGTGATCATGACCGGAGACCTAAATGCTGTCCCTCAGAGCTCCGCCGTTCTATACCTTGCCAACCAGGGCCCGATCGATGGGAGCTACACACCAATCCCGTTGTACGACACACTAACTGCTGCGGGTGCCGGAGGGCCAACCTGGATTGGATCTTCCTTCGGAAACATACCGGCGGGCAGCAAGTTTGACTACATTTTCTCACGCCGCGACGACCACACTTGCCTCCGCAACGGCACGATATTGGTTGATACGTTTGACGGGTACTCAAGCTCGGACCATGCAGTGCTGCTGTCCGAATTTTGCCTAGGAACAAAATGTTCGCGCTGCATCGCGTATTAGTGGATGTTGTGTAGTACGCAGCAACAATATACCACAACATTACATTATGTAACAGAACCTGAAGGTCTCCTACATCGACAAAAACTATGATTGTTTAAGTAAGCTCAACGATTTCTTCGCTGTACAACGGGGTACTCCAGCGCGGGCCGATCTAGAAGAAACTGTCAGCAAACGAACAATACGGGAGAAATAGACATCCAGAGTACAACACCAGTATATTTGATGCGGTTTAGCAGAGATGTATTAAGACAGCATCAAGTCGCGTCTTATAAAGGAAAAACATTAAAAAAAAAAAAAAATTGAAGGCCACTTGGCCACCTGCCACAAGAAACTGAAGTTCGTAATCATTGATTAATTTCAAGATGGGCTGCAACGCAGCATGCATGCCAGTGACAATCAGGCCATCGTCAACCCACCTGAGCAAGTTGGCAGTTGGAGTCCAATGGTCCAATTTGGACTGCTGGTGACGTTCTTGCCACCATACCTTGTTTGTTTGAACATTACTACTACCTACTCCTCAAATTGAGGCTCAATATGTCAGTCACCGTTACCAAAGTCGTACACAAGCATTTTTTGCAGATGTACCTTCTCGCCGAGAGCCGGATGCGCTTGCATCCGTGCCAAACATGCAATAACGCGAAGCATGATTACGTGAATAATACCAGTCCATGACTCACGCGAACAAGATCACCATAAATTACTCACGCTATTTTAATAAAAGCAATCGTTCTGCCGTGATGAACAGACGACCCCCTCGGTAGTAATCCTTAGGTTTGGAATACTGCCTCAACAGCAATATATTAACGGCTCCCCTTGACCAGTTACATACAAACCCAATATATTATTCCATCTCACCCCTCGCTTGTAAAAAGGATACATGTTGCGCTTTCATACGGTAATTATTGTACTATCACTTGGTCGAAAAAAATTAAGGCAGTTCAATCACCATATGCGTTTGTATGCCGCGTTGTTGTTGCTGCTGCTGTTGTAGTTGTCGTTTTCGATACATTAACTGATCCGGATACGATCCCGCTTTCATTCTCTTACACTACAGCGCTATATTGATTTACGTACTGGGCAGTAAAACGACTATTAACGCAAAGCTACATTAATTCGATGGGTTAGCGTCCATGCATATCCTTGGATATGCCATTTCACGTTGCTTTCCTCCTCGACTGGCACGTAGTATTGCAGGTGCATACCCTGCTCAATCCGTAGTGGTTGGTAAAAGGTAGGAAATTTGAGTCCGGCCAGTTCGGAGCCACGGCAGCAGAGGATTCAATTGAAGGCTACCGCGGTTACTAAAAAAGCCGGACTGAGCCAGCATTTTTTGGCTAGCTCAGCTAAGACTAAACGATAAAAGCTACCGTATCGCTATCTGAATAGCGAAAAGTTTTAGCCAATACGACAATTTTTAGCGACATTTTTCTATTTTAAAATCGATCTGCTCGATTTCGAGAATTCGACATGGGAAGTGACTAACGAGGGGATTGGATGACATTAAATATTATCCAATCCCCTCGTTGGTAATAACATCATGTTTTATATTATATTATTATGAAAAAAAGTTAGAATAATTCACTCTTCTCTGACGAGAGCGAGATCACGTCCAATTGACATCACAGGAGCAATCTTTGATAGCGCGATTATGGCAAGACTTCACGCAGTTTTGTACTTCGACGAACTGTATATACATCGAACAACTGTCTTACCATCTCAGTTTGTATCTCATTGCTGTTGGCTTGAACACCATGAACTTTCCAACGTTGTTTCCTCAAGGAAAGAATAGGGAGCATCGATGGGCTGGTCCATATGTGCGTTCCTTCGTACAAATCGTTCGTCTCACTTTTTTATTTGCAGGCTCCAGTTTGGATCACCGTTCAAGCAGATAAATCCCGAACGCCGTCGAGATGGCCCTCACCAAGTCAATGCTCATCGGTGTTGTTGCGGTAGCTAGCCTTGCAACAGCATTTCCAATCCAGACCCAGCAGGAGGTTGTTACTTCCTCTCAGCTGAAGGTCATGAGTTTCAACGTCCGGACGTCACTCGCCAACGACAAGTGCCCCAGCGGATGCTGGGAACAGCGCAAGTGGCGGGCCAAGGAGCTCGTGGAGAAATATCAACCCGACCTCATCGGCACACAGGAAGGTGCTCCTGACCAAATCGAGTTCTTCACGTCGAACATGTCCTTCGCGAGTCTCGGCGAGTGTGCGGGAGAGTGCAAGTGGAACGAGCGCAACAGTATTTTCTACAAGCCTGAGCGCTGGGAGGTACTGGGGAACACGACATTTGCACTGGTAAGTCTCGCTGCACCACTTGATGATTGATTCTAAGAATCACTAATTGCTGTTTGCTGACCGATTTATAGAGTGATACTCCTGGAGTCCTCGGATCAAACACTTGGGACCTAGAGTATCTTCGAGCGGCAGTGATTGCTCGCCTTCGAGACCTCTCTTCCAACCGAATTGTGTGCATCCTAAACACGCACTACGACATCACTCGCGGACAGAACCAGTCATCTGTCCTGGTGGCGGAACGCATGAGCGAGTACTGCCAGGACGGCGATGCTGTGTTCATGACGGGTGACCTGAACGCAATCCCGACAACGGCCGCTGTGAAATACCTGGCGAACGAGATGCCGCTGAACGGATCGTACACTCCGATTCCGATGTACGATTCCCTAACGGTTGCGGGTGCTGGTAATGCTACGTGGATCGGTAACGGGTTCGGAAATCACACGTGGGAGCCGTACAAGTTCGATTACATCTTCACTCGTGATGACCCGGAGACGTGCCTGCAGAATGCATCGGTGCTAGTTGACCTGTTCGACGGGTACTCTAGCTCTGACCACGCGGTTCCAATCTCCGAGTTCTGCCTAGGATCGCAGTGCTCGAAATGCATTAGACGTGAAGACCACACACAGGGTGTACAAGTGCAGCTGGGTTTGTCGTTGTCCGCGTAAAACTTGCGCCTTCAATGAAGGCGCAATTGAAGAAGGCCCTTCATTACAAATAGCAATACAACGAAACAAGATCGGTCCTTGCTCGAAGAAGCTTTTATATTTGAAAAGCAATGATGTTTTAGAGACGCTTCAGCTAAAAAAAAGGAAGCGGGAACGCTTCAAAAGCAAATATTTCTGGGAGACCAGCTTGCTGGTTGAACAGCCAGACTTTAATTCGACCACGAAATCTATTCCCAGTTACAAGTACCATTTGGGAGACATCGTTACATCGTTAATAGTAAGTATTTCTTTGGCCGATAATATAAAATGATTTATAATACTGGTAGTGCTATTATCAGCTACTAGTAGTAGTAGTATAATGATAGCACTAGCCGAGCGCCGCCGCTATGATTGGTCACAATTGCTAAGGTCTTTACCGCTTCGCTTCGGCGGGATTATATCCTTTTTTAAACTTTTTTATTTCGATTAGCCTTTTAATAAATGTTTTACTAACCCATTATCGATTAGCGTTGATGTTTAAGACTAGCCGAGCGCCTCCGCAACGTGGCGGAGGCGCATGTATGTTTTTAGTGCCTAATGCCTCCGTTCCGCTCGCCGCGGACGGACGTACGGACACACGTCGTGCTCTAGTCAAATACTAAAGCACTATTCACAAGATCTGGTTATGCTTATCACAAAATTCCCACTTCCGGCTTCACCTAAGCGCCCCCGGCCGTTGATCACGATCTTGGTTTACTTGCGTCGCTGTTCACACTTTATACCCACAGGCGGGAGCGTTCAGTTGCTGCTTGTTCTTGAAGCTTGGGGGGGCTTTTCCTTACCCTCCTTCTATGCACAACCACCTCGCTTACCAACCTTTTTTCATTGAGTAGCTGTTAACACCACGCGATTTGCTTCTTGTAACGTATTGTTTCGTTTGCACGTGGCGGTTTGCCTGGTTGGGCCAATTACTCGAGGTTAGGGATGGTTTTGGATTGGAAGAGTAAAGAATGTCCAAATTTATTCAAAACGTTTTAAACTGTTTTGAAGTGTCCAAAAGTGTCCAAAAGTGTGCAAAAAGCCAGTGCCAGCGATCTTCGATAGATCCCCCAACGGTGGGGGGGCTGACCAAGGCCTCAAAACGCAAACCGCCCTCCATCAGCGTGTCAAGGAGTCTATGACTCCAGATCAATCTCCAAACGGAGGCCTACCGCCTGTGCCGGCTGCATCGCCACCATCTGCGGCTCGGTCGACACGCTCAGGGACAAGTCAATTTCGTTCGCCGCCTGATTCTGCTTTGAGACGATCACCACGTTACAGCCCTTACCGGGATGGTATCTCGTACTGCAGTCCGTCTAGCCAACGTTTAGACTCACCTACAGTGATTCGAGCGGTGACCTTCTCTCCGCAGTCTCGAGCAACGACTCCGTCGCGCCCTCCACGCTCCCCTGCTCCTCTTCGCCCATCTCGAGCTTCACCACTGAGAACGGGGCGCCCACGTGATGACATCTGGCAGCACTACTACATCGAAAGGGATAATGGAAAGAAGCATGGCCGTTGTAAGTACTGCGGTACGCTCAAGAAGAATGGAAAACCCGGTGGCAACTTGCTAAAGCATTTGGTAAACGCCAAGCAGTGCCCGAGCGTGCCCAGAGACGTGTAGATCGCGTTGCGACCAAAGCCCGTTGCCACGGACTTTCCTGCTACCTCAGACACTCCACAGCCACCTCCCCCCAGCGACCTCACTCAAGATGCCTTTGAAATGGCATTGGCGAGGTTATTTTTCGTTTGTGCCTTGCCATTTGTGCTTGTTGAAGCACGGATTTTTCGGGAGTTTATGGCTCTCTTGGCTCCGATGATGAAAGTGCCATCAAGACACAAACTAAGTGGCGGTCTACTAGATCGTGTGCGCAAGGAAGTTCACCTAAACGTGTTGGAATTGATTAATAAGCAAGATTATGTCTCGTTGGTGACGGATGGCTGGAGTGACATTACTGGTGCAAGTATCATCAACTTCATGGTAGTCGCACCGGGTATGCCTTCGTTGTTCTGGTCTTCGTGGCCAACGCAATCTGAACAACATACCGCAGTCTATCTTGCCGGAGAAACCGAGAAAGTACTCGCAGAGATTGAAAGTACAACGTCCGCGCGCGTGATTTCAGTGGTAACAGACAACGCCAAAAACGTAAGAAGTGCATCGAGTCATATTCAAAACCGCAGACCTAACGTGGTGACTGGCGGCTGCTCTGCTCACGTGCTCAATCTTCTCATTCAAGACGTGTGCCGGTTTGCTATAGTTACTGCTATTCAAAAGCGAGCTGTGGTTATTACGCGTTTTGTCCGAGACCACTTGGCCCTACTTGACGAATTCAAGCGACATCAACGAGAAATTCGCAACAATGGGTTGAACGTGCGGAATTTGGTGCTACCAGTACCGACACGGTGGTACTCGGTATTTGCATGTCTTTGCTGCGTGCTCAACAGCCAAGACATTCTTGAAAAGTTTTTTTCTAAGTCCTGAATACGAGCAATTCCGCGATCGTTACCGAGGAACATCTCCAAGTCGAAAAAAACTGGCTTACATAGTAAGCCTGGTTCGTGATATTGAATTCTGGAGTGGGCTAAGGACTGTCGTTCGACTTGTGGGCCCATTGATAACTGCACTCAAACACCTCGAGTCGGACTCTGTGTTTGTATCTGGGGTTTATAGATGGTTTCGATGGTTAAGGTACCACTCCGTATACGGAGTTACTTCACCTGAAGACGAAGAAGAGAAAGAAGAAAGCACAGCAACTTTGGCGAATTCAACAGAAGATTCGCTTCAAGTTGGCCACGAAACCCAAGACGGTATTGAGCTTCTCAGCGACGCTGCATGCTCTTCGGTAACCTCCAATCTCGACGCAGTACACGGTGAACACGGACGAGAGGACCGAGAGTACACGAATATTGGTGTTCTGCCTCTTGACGATCTACAAACATACTTTCGGAGCAAGATAAAGAAACGCTGGAGCTACGTTCACACAAATACAATGGGAATTGCGTTCATGCTGGATCCATCAATGGATCTCGACGACTTTGTGGGCAATGATGACGAAGAAGTGGAGGACCAAGCTTGCAAACTTGCCCAACGTTGCGCTATTCTAACTCCGAATGCTGGTGTTCCGAAGCTGACTGCTGAAATTCTTGCCTTTAAAAGCATGAAGCGGTGTGGAGGCAGCGCGATGCGTGAACGGTATTCGGAATCAAGCCCTCGGGACTATTGGGAGTCTAGGAGTGCTAAAGAGTTTCCTCTGCTGAAGCAGATTGCGAGGATTGTATTCGCTGTACCCACATCATCCGCAGCAAGTGAACGTGCATGGAGCATTTTTGAACACATTCATTCGAAGAGAAGGAACAGACTCTCCGTTGAGAAGGTCGAGAAGCTCGTATACATCTGCATAAACTATGGTTCAATTGGGAGCGTCGATGTGGATCTTGCCCGGCATCAATCATATCCTGAGAGTATTGAATAAACGTTTGATTGTGCGGTGTTGCCAAGTCTTTCCATATCCATCGTATTTATCGAGCTCTGAAGGGCAATGTCCAGGGAGCGTAAGTATGTCACCGGCGACATTCACGTTCTCCATGATTTACTTGGGCTGTGCTCGCTCCGACGTCTTGCCCTTGACCAGCGCACGTACACCTCCAATGAGTACAAGTGGAACGCCGAGCAGTACTCCCAGTCAGAGGTCGAGTCGAGCGACAACTCGCACTGTTGTTGCTTCAGAAAGCGCTGCTGCAGCAGCAATTGCGGTTGTTGGGGAGGGTGTTGAAGTAGGCTGCGACGGAGCAGAGGTAGGTGGTGAAGGGCACTGATCTGTACAAACATGATGACAAGTTAGTTTCAGTAGCAAGTCCATCGTATAGCCTAATACAGCGCAAACGTACCTGTACTTCAAGTCTCGACGGCTCAATTCCTGCTTGAGTCGCTCTAATCTCAGATCCTCAAGCTGGTCGACTGTCTCAAACTGCTTAAGGTCGATGGGAGGTTCAGTCGGAGCTGCTTCTTTCTCGGACTTTTTCCTTGAATCTTCAGACGTCTCAGTCTTTACTTTCTTTGAGGAGTTCCCATTATTCTGTTGCTTGACCGGGATTGGCGCTTCGGTAGGTTCTTCAGATGCAGCTTAGATTTCGTTCGCATCCGCACTCGACTCCTTCGCATCTTCATCTTCCAGTGCCATGATAACAGGCTCGAACCCACACATTTCATACACGAACGGCTGAGATCCTATGTTCACTAGCAGCATCTCCGTCTGCTCGACACTGATCGCTGGGAAGAAGCCCTGATCGCTAGCCGTGTGCTTGACATTCCAGAACGCCACACCGAGATCAACTCCATTCCGAGTGAAGGCAACAGTTCCCTTGTCCAGATTCAGCAGACAGCCAATCGCATCATCCTTGCTCCACGGATCAATTGCAGCGTACTCCTAGTCCTTACCAGCATTCAACTTCACTTGGCAAGAACCATCGTAAGCCCAAGACCGCTCATGATCATAAACACCATCTTCCGTCTCCGAATTGGCCTTGAAAGTCGAATCTGCCAGCAATCCGACACCAGCTGCCACAAGACGCAGTGTTGCACCGACAACCGTGAAGATCTCGACAGGCACCGAAGCCCTTTGTAGCTTTGGCTCCAGAAGCTTTTCCCATGCTACGCAACATCGCACCGAAAGTTCTTTGCCTCCGCGCAATTCGCCGCGCAGTCGGGCGCGGATAATTGCTGGGAAGCTCGGCACATGGCTGGAGCGTCGATTTTGCGGCCATTTACGTACAAATCGAGCAGCGAAGAGAGTACGCCTTCGCGCTCCTGATGAAGGAGGTGGTAAGCGAGAAAGTGTCCGCGTTGGAGGGGGAAGGAGGCGCATAGAGTACGGTTGAAGTGCACGAGGAATTGCAGCTCCGCCATCATCTCTGATCCAGTCCAAAAGTTGCGAGTAAAATGAAGAGTTGTGGATACTATTCAATCACTCGCACAGCATGAACACGCCGAGCACCACGACACTGCTGATGTAGTACGTCACGGTGATGATGATCATGTGCGTCATAGACTCGGACACTACCAAAGACAGGAACAGCTTGAGCAACAAGTACTCGATAGCGTTTCGGCCAGATCCCTGGTTTTCCAAGGACAGCAATGGACCGTCAGACGGCGCAACGTCAGCTCCTTAGATCTCCAAGCACGGCCGTGGTCTGGCAGCGGGGTAACGTCAGTTCTCCAAGCACAGGATGGACCGGTAGCGGCGCAACGTCAGCTCCCTAGCACGAAACTTATTTCCAAATGTTCAAAAGTGTTCAAAAGTCCTTACCTCCTTTTAGGCATATGTTATTACTTAGTTTGGAAGACTTTCGAATTTTGGACGAATTTTTGAACATTTTAGAAAAGTATTTTAGACCGTTCTGAACGAGTCCAAAACCATCCCTACTCGAGGTACCCTAGCACGCCAGGTTGCATATCTTGAATTACGCGCAGGGGTGTCATCACCAGCGTCCATGTTTTTTTTCTTTCGCTTCACTGTTGACTGGTGGGTGGAAGGGAGACACAGCTGCGTTTTCTTGGACTTTTCGACGGGCTTGAACGTCTGGCTGTAATGTATATCATGCTACTAACTCGAAAGAAGCAGGAATTTCAGGGTCAATCTGTACCAATGAGCTCACAGTTGTAGCGATACGGTAGCCCCCATATAGAACAACCTTAGCCTTCGCGAGCAAAAGCACGTGTCCTCGGACGCACGCGCATGGAAAGCCGTGACTGCGTATACAAGCTCAAGACCTGGGTCTATGAGCACGCTTCCGGTGGGTTAGAAGCAATGCCTCAATTATACACGTTTGGCTGGACAACAATGACGAAAAGCCAGTTGGGGCAACACCTCCAAGGAGCAACCGATCGTTGTCAGCCTCTTGGCGAAGGCATTGGCATTGAGGATAATGGTTCCCTCCGATATCTACATCCTACACTTGAACGCGACCAAAAAGGTGAATCAGTGCGAGTACCCCGAACTCGTCGTGGATATCTCGAACCGCGTAGATTCCGTTTCGTGGTTCTCTTTATGTGCTTCCAAACCGCGCTGCTCGCACTACGGCGCCTATACTACTGCATTACCCAGATGGTCCGGGTTGTCCGCTATGCAATGGCTGACGGGGATAAGCCTCAGTGTAACAGCCACATTGCGGCGTTGCCGCACAACCCAGCCTACTAGTTCGTAATGCGTTTCTTCCAGGTTAAGATGCCCAAAACGTTTTAATATTGATCCTTGTAGGAAACTCCCAGTCCACTGGAACGGAGTGTGAAAGCAGACCATCTCTTCAGTCCCAAGACTTCCAATCAACAGGAGAATGGCTCTCTTGCTCGTTCGTATCTGATTGTACCACTGATTGAATAATTAAACCTCGCATACAAGCCGTAATTTCATCACGCAGCTTTTCCATACGAGCGGCGATGTCACGTACACGAGCTATGCCAGCTACATTAAAACTTTCCCGTATATAACCTCTAACCTTCAATGCAATCTTATCCGGTAAATCGTTATTAATTTTACCCTTCCACTGTGTGATGGAGGTTTACTAACCCTCCCAGTTGACTTTTTACTTCGTTCAGCTCGCGTACAATGAAGAGGTGTCGGAGACTACCAGTGAATTTCAGCTGCTGCTCACCGGAATGCCCAATGCACAGCACTGTACCTGTCCGACACATATCAGGTCGTGGGTTATGGGTGCATACTCGTGCGAGAAAAATCGAATGAGTCTTGGATAAGCTATATCGCAAAAATGATTCGTGATAAAATAATGAAGCGAGAAAAAAGGAATCCAGTACGAACTCCAGTAGGGCAACTTGAATAGCCTGGTAAATACTTTGCCAAAATGATAAATCGAGTTGTTTTACTATCCCAGTCGTGAAACAATATCGCCTGTAGGGGAACCGAGTTGCTGCTGTCCACTCTCGCTTAAATATTTTAACGTTTTCCGCAAAAGATCACCTAACCTTGTTTTATTATTGCAGCCGGCAAATAATTGCTGCTTTTCACCGGCAGAACGATCCGGATACGAAAAAAGTAAGACTGCAAGCGCTAATATCGGACAAATATGAGGATCGTATGGGTTGGTGTAAATATGCTTCCAGTATTTGCCTGCTCCCGTTTGCTCCCCTTTGTGTCCTTGTTCTTCAATTACTAGACTGTCTTCCACCCAATCAAGATGCTGCAGCAAATATTTTCCATCGATTCAGATCTACTCATTAAATTCCACATTAGTACGAAGTAAGCCCATGAGAGTGTAGAAGTTGCCCAAGTCTGTCCAGATTTTTCAGGCCGGGACTTCATCAATTTCGACGCTAGTAAAGAGTAGCCAGAAGACTTCAAATACTGCTTGCTTCGCTAATTTTCATGAGACCACGCTTACTTAAATCATTAATTAGCTTGCCGTATCCTTCAGCTCTATCTGTATCGGGGCTCAATATGTTTTGTTCATTTTTGTACAAATCAACTAGGGCATTGCTATAGCCTTTCACACATGACGACGAAAGCGGCACTCCGAGTTCTCCAGTATTCGAATCCATTTTATCCAGCTCTGTTGCTACAAAACAGACAGATCCAATGAACTCGAGAACCACGGATTTTTCGAAAGGTAACTTTACCTTGGTCCTTCCGTCTTCTTTGGAGACACAATCCGGGTAGTGAAGAGAATGCCACTCAGATAGACAATTAAGCTTTGAAGAATATGTCTTTCTGGTAGTGATCTTAAGTATTTTAGCTTGCTGAGCCCTTGCAACGTTGTCTGCATCTGGTGCCGCAGCTACAACACTCGTCGGCGGCACTCGTCGCTTCTTGATCTCCATGACAGTAATGATTGGCTACCTGTTTAAAATAGCCAATCGCAATAGCGAAGCCTGTGTGATAAACAGATATCACACTTCTTGCAAAACCAGCCGGCTTTTCACTAAACTTGAATTCAGTATGCCATTGGGTTAAAACAATTAACAAGAAGTGTGAGGCTAAGGTATCACACTCTGCTTGATCAAAACACACATTTAGCACACTTCAAACAGATACTCATTATGTTTACAACAACAGTTAAGCTTATCTCGATTCGAATCCATAAAATAAAAACGAAACATACTCCACAAGTGCCTATATAGGGGGAGTCAGAATTGAGAAATGATATGAATCGCATGGTCATTTGAACGCCAACTAAATGACCATACATCTCCCGAAATATCGCCCCGGCGACAATTGAAACAGTTGACCATATTTTATTATTGACTTGCTACTGGAAGTTGCCGCCAAGGTCAGCGGTCGATGGCGGCAGACACTGCTAGCATAAGGAGCGTGCACCGCGGTTTACACAGTATCTAGAAGAGTCATGGGGGTTTCCCAGCTTCTGCAGGTGCTTGTTTGGGCCAGGGACCGCGATAGCATGTCGTAGCATTTCTAGAATCTGCATTTTGTACCTTTCTGCCGTTTTCCAGCTCAGTATGCTACCTTGCAGCATCATCGTAAGCTGTCGTGCATCAGAGAGCAAGCAACATCTTCTAGGCATGGTTAGAGAGAAACTGTGGGTGCCAATGCTCCCGGACGCTCGCTCCCCGCATACAAGGGTTGTTACGGTGCTCGGCGAAATTAAAGATTCAATTTGCATACAATTCATATGATTATCAGAGTGATGATCACCCAAAAATGGTCAACCATTTCAGAAATGGTTAGCGATTTCCGAAATGCTTCACCTAAACAGATAAACCATTTTGGAAAATGAAATATGAGCCGACCATAAAAAATATGGTCGACCATTTCGCAAAATAGTCGCTACGAAAAAGTTAATTCTGGTTCCCTCTAATACCTGTATGAGCTGTAATTAAGTGTATACGTGACTTTGATACCCTGTCAAAGAATGCATCAGTGGCTATTCCCAACTACAACCTCTGAAATAGGAAATTTAGCCGACATTCACTTCATAAGCTTTTTATAAAGTCCAGAATAGTTTACACTGAAATTCCACACAGGCGCTGTCATATGGATTATGGGACTGAGTTGACTTCAAATAAAATAATAAGCATGGGAGTACTGTATATTATACGTAATTTCAGTATTACTGCAGGTTAAATGATACGCGAAAGCTAATTTGTTCCATTTGTAAGTACAATACGCACCTGAAAATCGGCTCTTTGGAGATATTTGGTCTCGAAAAATAAACTTAACTGTTCTTAAACTTCAAACTTAAATTAGTATGATGTGGGAATCACGAATGAAAAAAATGGAGTTAGCTGGGCATCTGTAGGCCACCACAAGTATTAATAGTATTGATTGCACTCACCTCAATGTGAAGAAACTTTTTTTCCACTGCATCGATATCTATGTAGAAGAGACATGAGTTGCGCGAATGAGCAGTAACAACGACAATGATATTGGAACTTCACGCCATTAGTAGTAGTAGTAGTTGTAGTAGTACAGCAAAGTCTCATGAGAAGGCCAAGAAATTTGTATTCCATGAAACTGTGTGTAAGCCACAACACACGGGTACGCCCAGTTGGGCTGCACGTTTTCTTCGTACCGAAGCACTGCCCGGAGTGGTTCCTGCAACCTTAACTTAAAGTTGTTTTAGTCGTTTTGAGACATGTATGGTTGCTGTATCCCCGTTTCAAAAATTTCACGCGAATCTATTTTCTCTAAATTACCATTTCGCTTAGTTACGAATTTCAGGCGATCATTCTAAGTACGCACTGCTGAGCGCCTCACATTTTCTGGGCTG